GTGCTTGCATGTGCCCTAGAAGTTTCCCACGAAGATCTCCTCCAGGTCCGCCCAACTTTGGATTCTGTTGGATGGAAGGTGTTCCAACTAGGTTCTTGCCGAATCGGCCAAGAACAATGGAAGGTTGCGGATAATGAAGTCGTCATTATCCGCACCACCGGCTTGGCAGGCAAGCCAATAGTCTTTGAGCCATAGTTCGGGGTATGTTTCCCTAGAGTACTTCGGGATATTGGTTGGTGGTCAGTACCTTGGCTGGAAGACAACGTTGAGGATGTGTCGGCCGAAGGCCTGAGGCCCCGACAAGCCGGGGCTTAGGCTTCGGTCCTCGCCGCTGTCGTAGCGTCCACCACGGCGAGGGTGATAGCCGCGTCTAGCTCCCTCTCTCGAGTCATTGTAGGCACGTCTACGGGCGTCGAGGGTGTTGCACGCATCATGGTTGCGGCCGAGATGCTGACGCACCAGGACTGTGGTGTGCTACCTACTTCCTTGTGGTTCCTGATGGACCGACACATCCCTCCCGGGATGCTCTGAGGGCGTGCGTTGGCTAGCGTTGAGCTCGCGTTGCCGAGACAACGAGCTTTCGGCCTGCTGCGCCACCGCACGCTTGAGCAGCGTGTGAATCTCATGGTGGGCCCGATGATCCTTGGGCGTCATAGCCTTTGGAAGGCCATAGAGCAAGGCCGCCATGGCGGCGATGTTCTAGCTCGCCCAGGCGAAGCGAGAGAGGGCTTCATCGTCGATGATGATTCTCCAGTTCATGTCGCGGGCCATGGCGCGGGCGCGCCCACTGTCTCTGCGGCACTCGATCTCCTGGTCGAGCTCCATGCATTCCTACTCGAGCTAGAGTCATGCTTCCTCGATCTCTCGGTGTCGGGCTTTCAGCTGCTCCACCGGCATGCGTGGCGGGGCTGTTGTCTCCCTCTCAGCCTCATTGTTGAGGTCGTTTGTTGGGGTAGCCTCCCCTTCGTGGACGCTTTCGACGTGCCTCTCGGGGGTACCCGTCATAAAGCATTCACGAGAGGGGTGATGACTTCCCCTGCTAGAGTCAGAGCCAGAGGGCGACTCTGGCTCCTCTGCCAGGAGGCCGTGGAGAGATTCCACAACGTGTTCGATCATCCCCATGAATTCATGTTCGTGGGAGGTGGGGCCATGCGTTGTGCCACAAGGTGGCTAACGGTCGCCGTGGCATTGTGGAGACCGAACGGAAGCACTGCCGGGGCGCTCTGTATGAGGTGTTCCGGAGAGAGGGGTTCCCCTCTGGCGAGGCGCGCCATGACGTTGGCGTCAGAGAAGGCGAGGTGGCACGGGTCCTCCCTGGACGGCTAGGATCCTAGGGAGACAATGAGCTGGCGCTCAAGCCTCCTATAGTCAAGGCCGATGGAGGAGAGAGGTTGGATGGCGGCGTGAGCCAATGCCAACTCTCCTCCCATCGTGATGATGAAGTCTAGGTCCCCAAAGCGCACATGTGCACCTGGGACCTAGCTGATACCGTGGCTAACCATCCATGGCCTAATGTTAATGTCGGAACATGCAAAGGTCCCCTACCTAGCACGCCAACTGTCGGTGTTTCGAGTAAACACCAATGAGTAAATTTGTGTTATTGCGCCTCTGACCCGGATGGTGTGCTAAAAAGATACAAGGTTTATACTAGTTCGGGCAGAATGTCCCTACGTCCAGTTTATGGCTGCTGCTCGTGTTATTTGTACTGAAAAGTTCGTAGTAGGGGTTACAAACAGACGAGAGGGGGAAAGATCCCAAGTCTTTGATGGAAAGGTCGAATGGGTGCTGAGAGCTTGGTCGCTACTCAGCTATGCGTGATGTGATGCGTGGTGTGTTCAATCCATTTGCCCCCTTAGTGGGGTGTCCTGTCTTCCCTTTTATAGACCAAGGGGAAGCATGGATTACAGATGGTAGAAAGAAGAAAAACCAGAGGCAAACGAGGTCCTACCGAGATGCCGGATCTTCCTTTTCCTCTGAGCGAGCCCCGCTGACATGGCACATGGTGCCAGGGATAGCTCTATGCTGGGTGCATGTCCGCTGATCCTAATAGGGCTGCACTGGGCATCTGTCCGCTGATGATGCCATGTTCTGGCTTTGTCAGTAAGTGGTCACGTCCCATCCCGCTCCGGCGGTCGGCGCGACGGAGCAGGCGGTGTAGTGACCGCACGCCTGTTATTGTAGATGATGCGAGTTTCCTTCTGGACCGTAGTGGTTGTCGTATGCTTCTGTCAGGATCCGTGCCCAAGGGCAAATGGCGGCGCCCACAACACTGTAAGACAAATGTCGGCGCCTACAACACTGTTCGGGCTCTGACATGCCTGAAAGGGCTTAAAGTGCCCATCTTTTCATATCCTGATGGTACCTTCCTGCAGGCGTGCAGGGTATGGTCCTCGGTATTACGGTTGACTTGAATGCCCTGCCTTATCTACGCATGTAGTTATGAAGGAGCAGCACGCAAACGTCGGGCAAGGCGGAGCCAGCCCTCGGACGTCAGGCGAGACGGAGCCGGCCCTCGGGGGTCGGGCAAGACGGAGTCTGCCCTTAGACGTTGGGCGAGGCGGAGTCAGTTCTCAGGAGTCTGCTTGAGGCGGGGCCCATGGTCTCGGTGGACGGACGAGGAGTGACCCGGCAAGTGGTGTAGTCGCGCTCTTGATCGCGCGGATGAATCAACGTTGACAGTTATTAGCTCCTCCTCTTCGGGTACCCTAATATTGGTCCTGACACATAGCTTTTTTTGCTATATATGTGTTACCGGTAGATGTTCTATACATAGACCTCCATAGGTCATCTTTGCATAATACTCCTATTCTAAATTCTAAACTATAAGATGTTTTGACTTTTTTTATACATTAGTTTTTACTACGTATCTAGACATAGTGTATATCTAAGTACATAAGAAAAGTTATGAATCTAGAAAAATTAAAACACCTTATAATTTAGAGTGGAGGGCGGAGCGGCGAGGGATAGATCGAGACAGGAGGGCAATGCGAGCTCTCAAAGCTTCTGGGCGAGGATGTGTGGTCACAAGTTGGACTAACAAGAAAAATGCAATGTTTCTCAAAGTAACCTAGACCATTACATAAGAGCACCCGCAATGTAGCGGGGTTTGGAACATCTTTTCATCGTCAGATTCTGAATAATGCTTCAACTCGTTATGTGCTGCAGCGGATGTCATCATGCCCAAAACATTGTGGGTCCCATCTATCCTTTTTGCATGGAAGATCCATGCTCCTAGTCTCGGCTGAAAATAATAATCTACTAGGTAGCGTGCCCGTACGTTGCTACGGGACAACTAAACTTTTATACTAAAAACACATAAATCGCACGATAAGATAACAATACTGTAAGTTTGCAGCTATTTTGCCATCCTATGGCTTCGAATCTGATTCCTATAAGCTTTAATCTTTGATTCCTATAGCTGTAATAAGCAGATTAAAACTTATTGGGAACTCTTGCTCCTACCTCACCAGACTAAAGCTGCAAACGCCCTTCCTTCTATAGCTTTCTGGCACATAAAGATACTAACCGTAAAGTAGTAAGAATTTGGAAATTTCACCTGCTAAACTATATACCTTGGTCCAGCTACCTGCTCCACATACTACCAACTCTGTCAGTCCAGTCCTGCCACCCCCTCACACATTACAAACGAGCTCACCACCACAGCATGCTGATGACTGTGCTGACCTACAGCAAAGCACCCACACACCTACAGTAAGTCGATGCATAAGAATCGATCATTTTTTGGGTGATAAACAAATACATCAATGCTCTCCAATTAAACCAGCGCTAGAAAGCAATATACCTACCAGTTCTATTGTACTTCCGCCTGCAATGTCTGTAAATTTCTTTTCTCCATATAGGAAGTTGAGAAAGATGTGAAAGCTTGGACTAAAGGGGAACTCGGAGCTACAAAAACATTGTGTACTCCATTTGAGCAGCCAGAACTTCCAGAAGGTATGCAGCCCGTTCGGTTGGCTGGTTCGTTTCGTTGCTGGTTCGTGAAGAAGTACTACTGGCTGATTTGTATGAGAGAAAAATACTGTTCCGACTGAAAATTTACGATCGTTTACGACAAGCTACAGCCAAAGGAACAGGCTGATGGCTCTATGAGGGCCTGCATGCAAGTTACCTATGGTTTTCCTTGTTATGATTGTTGCATTTATATTGTAATGCTGACCTGTCTTGTACAACCTAAATTCAGGTACTCTGTGCTTTGCATCTGGAAAGCTAGCGAAGAAGTGGTTGTTCTGGGGCCGCAGCTACTGATGGCCTGTGGTGGGAGTCTTTTTGGATTCAGTTCCAGTGAAATCATGTAGCTTCGGAATTTTAGATACAAATATAAAAATCCATTTACATTGTGTTTTACATCGACTTGCAGTTGTCATGTCATCACTGCTGGCAAAAGCCATTTGTTCTAGCATACATTGCTATTTGAGTTTGGATGTTGCAAGAATGAGAAGACATACATCCGTTTACTGGCGTACAATGTTGCTATAAGTAGAAAATAAACGCTTTATATCTGATTGCAACACATAATTCTCACCGTAATTTAACTGGACCTCTTTATCTTTGGGCAAAGCCAAATTTATCATGAAATTCCTGCCCGCATTTCACTGGAGTCCTTGTGTTCACCTTTTGCAAACCCAATCTCAGCTTTTATCATGACTTGCTGATGCCCGTGCGTTGCTACGGGGAGCCTCAATTTTTTCTAGGCAAAAGAGTATAAAAAAAGAAACTACATGTACATATATCTTTGAGATCTTATTGAAGTAGAATGTCAAACAACAGACGGGACACCTGAAGTGCTAATCAGTTGATATTGTTCAACTCCGGTTTTGGCCTGTGCATAGTTTACAAATTATTGCGAGGTTGTTTTACACCCACATCTCTGTACAAATTTGTGGATACCTTAGAATACCATGATTTTTAAGGATGGAATTAATCAGCACCAGGAGAGAAGTGTTCGTGGGTGGTCACACAGAAGGGAGAGCAGGGAAGGGATGCCGCGCACGGACGCGTGCGCCGCCTCCAGCACCGGGACGCCGTGCCACCTCACGGTGGTCGGCTTTGGTGGCGCTGACGAGCTGGAAGGCGAGCCCGGTGTCCTGGGCGAGGATATGGTGGATGCTGTCGAGGAGCGACGCCTAGAAATGGCCCAAGCTGAGCGCGTCCTTCTTCACCAGCACCACGGTGCCCCCGATTCGGCCCTCCAGCACCGTGGACGCCGCACGCGCCTCACGGTGGTCGAAGGCGTGCAGCACGGCCAAGCAGGGAGTCACGAAGGAGAGGGGAGCGATGCCGCGATCGCAAGGGGAGCGACGAGCAGGGAGGAGACCGAGTCAGATGGAACACGTGAGCGTGAAACCAAATGAAAGAAGGAAAAAGCTGTCCCTTTTGCAAATGCAAAGAGAAAAAGTAATTAAATGTAGACAGATTTGGCAAGGTTCTCAGAAATACAAAGATGTTCCTTTTGTCTTAATTCTCTTTCCTTCTGTGTTAATTCTCTTTCCTTTTGCTCGTTGCCATGTATGTTGGTGCATGCAAACATGCAATGCGTATATGGATAGCACAATAATTTTCTACTTCCTATTTTCCCGTGATTCCTCTATCACATGACAGGCAATATTCAATCAAGGAGATGTCGTGGGATCGCAGGCGTGGGCAGACGGACGAACCAAAACAAATGTCGTACAAAAAAATATCCATACTTTGTTCTTTTTAGTCATAGGAGATACATCTTTTTGCTGGGAGCATCAATGACTTATTTTTTTTAAAGAGACCTTTTTTTTTACCTCGATGCCAAAATCTTTCAACCAAGCAGTGGCAAAATCAATGCTGGGTGTATGCCGTGGATGCCAAAGAGGTGCTGCCCCCCTAGTCGTTGATGAAAGGGCGATAGCCGATAGGGTCGGGCAGGGTTGAGCTTGGGCACTTGGGCTGTAAAGCGTCAACGCCTGGACGACGCAGCACGCCGACGCTGAGGCGGCGGAATTTCGATTGTGATTCCCTCCTGGGTCCTGAAGCAAGCGCAGCAATGCCAGCTCTTCCCGCTTTCCCCCTCACCCGCCGCCCATCCGACGCCAGACGCCGCGGTCGCCTCGTCCTTTCCCTCGTCGTCCTCGTCGCCTTCTCCGCCGCCGTAGCCCTCGCCTACCTCTCTTTCCCCTCTGCCGTGCGGACATCGCCCCCGGCAGCGTTTTCGGCGGTCCGGGCGGAGGCCGACTGCTGCAGGGGTATGGAGGGCCTCGAGCTCTGGGGCCCGGCGGTCAAGTGGGGCTCAGACCACCGCCTGCCCTCCGCTGCCGCTTGCTGCGCTGCCTGCAAGGCCATGTGCCCTCACCCCGAGGACGGGGCCTGCCGCTGCGACTCGTGGGTCTTCTGCGGGGACGAGCGCAAATGCAAGGACAGGCTCGGGGAGGTCAGTCCAGTCCGTTTCTATCCCCTCTCTCATCTACCATCTACCAGCAGAAGCCAAGTATTTGCATTTCCATAGATTTTGCAAGGTGCATTATTTTTTAATATTATTAATGATCTAGTAGTATTACCAGGTTAGAACATCTCCAAAAGCTCCTTAAAAATCACTTGGTAAACCAACGATTATGCCATAGCCACAGTAGCGATCTGCAGCAGCAGCACGTAACATTGAGAGTTATCCATAGCCTGAACCAACAGTGAGATCATCTATCGCTTCTGCAATAGTGTTCTATTACCCTTCACCATTTCCATTTTTTTTTTGCGACTGTTCTCCTGAACTAGCACAATAATTTGCAGCTTATATTCTAGGCCTTCTGTGAATAAAACACCTACTTCCATTGAAAATAATTACAGTGTATTATGACTCAACCAACAGATTATCATAAATTTCTATGCTTAGAAGAGAATTAGCAGCTGACCAGGTCACCAGGTCCCTGCCAATTCAAGGTAACACTACAGAAATGTCAGAACTATGGAAAGAAAGACATACTAATATTACCACTTCATCAGTAGGTCAATAAATTTATATGCTTAAAAGGGAATCGGCAGATCACCAGTTCGATACTCTCTCCAGATTGCAAACAAGGTAATATGGCAGAAAACTGAAATTTGAGGTGTTCTTGGCATCCATGTCGTGCATGAGAATCCCTGTACCAACATCAAAGAAACAAAAAAAGAATCGATCAATGTTCAAAAAGGCGACATTAGGCGTCCGCCTAGGCGCGACTAGGCACTAGGCGAGGGGGTCCCGCCTGGCCTAGGGGGTAGGCGGCGCCAGCTCGTCGGCGGCGCCGGTGGGGGAGGAGCGCCTGGCGGAGGTCGCCGGTGACAGATGAGGAGCTTCGGACACGTGCGGGCGGCGGCGGCAGGCGCGTGCGGGCACGTGCTGCGGAAGGGAGGAGTCTGGCAGCGGTGGAGAAAGAAGCAGAGCCGTGCGGCGACGGAGAAGGGCGGAGTCGGGCATTTGCGGCTGCGGAGGGTGTGTGCGGCTGGAAGGATACGCGGATGGATAAGGATAAACTGGTTCATGCGGATGGAAGGGGCTTTTTCTTTTCTTTCTTTTTTTTATAAGAAAAGGATGGAAGGGGCTGGGAGGAGTATGGATAAGATGGGCTGGGCTCTTTTGATGGGCCTTTCTTCCAACTTTAGGTCCACATGTCTCATATTTCTTCTTTTATTTAAGATAATCTAAGGTAATATATGAATGTGTATTAATTAAAGTTAAAACATTAAAACGCCTAGGCTCGCTTAGGCCCGCCTAGGCTCTAGGCTATGGGTCATCGCCTAGAAATCGCCTAGCGCCTTTTTGAACATTGGAATTGATACAATCCTATTTTTGGTATGATTTGGCTACAAATCTCAGCTAAACATCAGGTGAACACTGATAAGTTGTCCTCTGAAATTTGTATCAAATGCCATGGAATTGGAACTGGTATTAATCAGTTGAATAGTTGGACCAACTTATTTTCTTAGACCAAGCTTACAGTAGTTAAAACAATCCAAATTCCATAAAAGGATCAAGGTAAGTTCTTTTCAAAGCAAAATGGGGAAAGTTTACTACAGCATCAATCCGAGCATATTCTGTAGAGCAAATCCTAAACCACTGTAGGTAAGGGTAACCCAGTTGCAGTCTTCAGGTTTAGGATGTAGCTTATGTGAATTAAGATAAGCTGCGTTTTCTTTGCAGGAACGTATTGATAAAAGTAAAATTAGTACAGGCAGCAACATGGATCCATTTATATGCAACTAGAATTACAACAACAACAACAACAAAGCCTTTAAGTCCCAAACAAGTTGGGGTAGGCTAGAGTTGAAACCCAGCAGAAGCAATCAAGGTTCAGGCACGTGAATAGCTGTTTTCCAAGCACTCCTATCTAAGGCTAAGTCTTTGGGTATATTCCATCCTTTAAAGTCTCCTTTTATTGCCTCTACCCAAGTCAACTTCGGTGCTCTGTAACTAGAATTGAAAAAGAAAAACAGCTATCTCTGAACTGTCAGTGCTATGTACGTACCGGTTTTCGCAGCTTGATGTAAGTCACTACTACGACTACTACTACTAAATACTCTGTTGTTGTGTATATTAGTTCATAAGATCTCCCTTTATTTGGACAATTCTGCTGTGACAATAGCGAGCTTCGGAATGAATGCCCACCTTGACAGAGACGGAGGGGATATCACCGAGGGGCCCTTTGCGGACAGGCACAGCTCGGCAGTGTCAGTCTTGGACAAAGTGCATATGCTGTTGAGGTTGGGTTGAGCGACGTTAGCGCGGTGGTGGCTTCAGATCGATGCAGGGCGCTGCTGGGCATCCTTCTTGCATCCATGCGAAGCTGAAGACAGGTGCAGGGATGATGTGGACGGCCTGGTGGAGAAGATGGATGTGCCTCGCAGTGCAGGAGCGGCCGCTGCCAGTGCGGAACGGGTTGAGGAAGGTGTCGTTGACTTGATTTGGTGGCCTCGTAGTGCCGGCGACCTGGATGGTGAGCGGCTGCGGCCGACCTCCAAAACCTACTACCCTAGAACTAATCTATGGCTGCAACCGTGAATCGCCCAAGGAACAAGAACTGGATGAGAATGGAAACATGAGAATAGGAAGAGAAGCCTTAGCCCTTGGGACAGGTGTACAGTCTTTGGTGCGCTGTCCTCTGCACGACTGCACCTGCTTGGGCTGCAGCCAAGCGGCTGGGCTGTACAGCTGCAGCCCAAACAGCTGCAAGAAGCAGAAGCGAACAGCTTGCGCACAGGCACGAGAGATTTATCAAATGCTTATTTTTAGTAGTTCAGATACAAAGCTATTTGGAGGGACATCTTTTTCCTTTTTGCCAAAAAATCGAATTAGCGAGTTGTTTTTCCTTCCTTCCTTTCTTCTTCAAAGCATTTGCTTTCTTTCCTTATGCATACAGGAATAAAAGTCTACCTCTGTAAGATAAGATCGGTGCAGGGATTCAATGTAGTCATTATTGTTGCTCCTGTTACTCCTTTGCATTTTATGTTCAGTGGATGCAGAATCTAAGTACCCTCTTTGTTTTACTAACTCCTTTGCTGCACTGGAAATGCAGTGCTGGCTGAAGAAACAGAAGGATGTCATGGCTCCTGCTGTTATTGCAAGGGGGGAGGACGTCATGTGGACTTCTGGTCTAATCTTTGGAAAAGGAGAGGTTGGTTACATGCAATCTCTATTTCAGTTTGCTAGCTGTAATTCAATATCTGACAATTTGGAACATTCTTTGAGCTCCCTGGACATGTTTAATTTTCCAGCTCGATAGTGCCACCTTCTTCAGGTGTTCCATTTTAATAAGATAAAAACTATCAAGCAGGCTGTTCACACTGTCTTGAGATGTTCATTGGTGTAACTTCCTGTGTGGTGTATACTGTATACAAAGAATTGTATGACATACTCCCTCCATTCCAAATTATAAGATGTTTTGGCTTTTTTAAATGGTAGTTTTTGCTATGCACTAAGATATACATTATTATGTGTACATACATAGTAAAAACAATGTATTTAGAAAAGCCAAAACATCTTATAATTTGGAACAGGGGAAGTACTATTCTTGCTGAACCTATAATTGCCTATTGTCATATGCTTCAAATTTCAAAGAAAAAAGGAAAAAAGAGGTGGATTTCTCCCATGAAGGCCTTGTTCATTTCATCCCTAAACCCGTTCGGGGGGATTTTGACTTGTAGGGGATTAAATCCCCTTCAACCCGTTTGGGGATGAAACGAACAAGGCCTAAGGAAATACATCTAGCCATTTTATTACGATATTCGCTAGCATGAATCTCTTGATTAATGGAAGGCTTTATCTTAATGCAGGGAATTGTGGGGCTTGAAACAAATCTAGGGACACTTCATATTCAAGTGAGTGCCCTTTGTCCCTACTACAGGAAAATAATATGTTCATACTACTTAACTTGTGTGTGTTGTGTGTGTGTGTGGGGGGGGTGCATTTGTAGGTCTTGTGAATTAGTGTTTCACTACTTACTTTTCGTTTCCACGAAAGTCCAAATATGCTAAAGTGGTATTCCATGACAACTCAAATATAATAGTGGTGTTCCCATTTGTTCCTTTACTGCTCATCATCCAAGCCCGTAAAGCTGTATGTGCTTATCGAAGTGTTTCTAGTATGTTCTTATTTGTTTTACTTTGATAATAATAGAAATACAGAATATATGAGATGTGGTTGTTGAGAAAGTAAAAACTATGGTTCCATTTACTACATGAATTGTCTAAAGGGTACTGCTGCCAGGGCCATGGCTGGTCTGGCCATCTGGGTGATTATGAATTTAACTTGCTGACGTGAAAGCTAAGTGCATGTTTATTGATTCATTTTTCCTCTTTTGCAAAATAACATCATGGCAAGGCAATACCAATTACCAAATAAATATCTGCCAGTAGCGATCGAAATTTCTTGACATGCAGTCCTAGGCTAGTATAGAGCTACCTGTACCATCCAGATTCCCATTGGATCTGAATGAAAGCTGATATTGTTCGTGTTTCAGCAGAAATACAGTTTATAGGGCTGGCTAATTGGAAATATCCCATAACCTGAGCTGATAGACATTCCTTTTTGTACTTGTTATACACCCAGTTGCTGCCTGGTTGCGCACCCCATTCTGTGGACTACTTCATCGAGCTTCTGGGCTTGCGCAACTTTGTCAGATGCAGATTTTATCGTGCAGAAGGACGTGGGAATGTCTGGGATGCAAAAGGCGATCATGAAAAAAATGTATGGCTTGTATGGCATTTGGCCTGTGGCTACAATTGAGTACTGATGATTCCTGCTCTCTGTACCATTAGGCTGCATTTGGCCCGCCATATGCATTGCTTCAAGGAACACTGGAAGTTGATGGTGTGCCCTTCAAGGAGATACCAAGAGAAGCATGTCCGTCGGTGAAAAGAGGGTCCGTTGCCTGGGTAGGGTCAGGGCCAGAGTTCCTGATCAGCTTAGCAGACCACGAGGAGTGGAGGGACGCCTACACCGTGTTCGGGAATGTGCTTCCCAAGGACATGGCGATCGCAGAGGAGATGGCACTGCTGCCGACAAGCACAGACGTGTGGAGCAATGTTACGGTGAAGGTTCTGAAAGATCCTGTCTACTTCAAGGTGAAGAGAAGCAGCAATGCTAGCGCTGTCTAGGTGATGGGCATTTTTTTCTTCTTTTTGGATGAAAGACTGGCAAGTGGCAACACCGCCAAAAGTTAAAGCAGATGATCGCTTCACTGTGTAAAGAAAGGAGAGAGCTCTAATACAATACTCTTAGAAAGGAAGAGAACACAGATTGATGCTGCAGAAGAAAAGAAATGCAGTTTGTTCTTGATCTCAGAATATAATATAATAAAATAGGTCGTGGTGAACTGATGATGTCTTTCCGTTGTCGTCGGGGCTCTGTATTACCTACGGTAGTCGTGGGCCGACTTAAGATGTCCTACGGCCCACCTGAGCACAAGCCCAGTGAGCCTATCATCGTCCTCATTGCCTGACTCGCCGGAAAGAAGGCGAAGGCCGTCGCGTTCTCGCAGGCGGCGGCGGCGGCGGCGGCGGCGGCGATGCTTGCGTTCGAGGAGCAGGTGGTGGCGGACCTGGTGGAGGATCCGAACGGAGGTCTGGTGGTGCTCTCCTCGGGCCTCCCTCTGGCCTCCCTCGCCGCTACCCTCCTCCTCTATCTCCACCAGACCCCCGGCGACGCGGCGGGGGGAGGATGTCTCCTCGTCCTCTCCGCCCCCGATCCCCTCAAGGCCCGGATCCGCCGCCGCCTCCAAGAAAAGCTGCAGGTTCACGACGTGCCCCCTGACCTCCCCGCGCAGCAGCGCGCCTCCCTCTACGCCTCTGGCGCTGCTCTCTTCCTCTCCCCCCGCGCCCTCGCCGCCGACCTCCTCACCTCCCGCCTCCTCCCCTCCCGCGTCCGGGCCCTACTCCTCCTCTCCGCCCACCGCTCCACCGATACCTCCTCCGACGCCTTCATCGCCCGCCTCCTCCGTCAACGCAATCTTCTCCCCGTTTACGCCTTCTCCGACTGCCCCCATGCCATGGTCGCCGGTTTCTCCAAGGCCGAGCGTACCATGAAGAGCCTCTACGTGCGCCGCCTCCACCTCTGGCCCCGCTTCCACGTTCTCGCCGCAGCCGACCTGGAACGCGCCCCGCCTGACGTCGTAGACGTTCGCGTTCCCATGACGCCGCCCATGAGGGGTATCCAGGCTGCCGTCCTCGCTACCATGGACGCTTGCCTCAAGGAGCTTAGGCGCACCAACAAGGTGGATGTTGAGGACCTCACCGTCGACAAGGGCCTCTTCAAGTCTTTCGATGAGATCGTCCGGAGGCAGCTCGACCCCATCTGGTACACTCTTGGGAAGAAGACAAAGCAGCTTGTGGCTGACCTCAGGACGCTACGCAAACTGCTTGATTACCTCGTCAGGTAGGTGTTGTCCTCTCAGTGATCACATCCCCTTCCTAGCACCTTATTTCATGTTTGTGCTTATATAAAATGTTCTGCGGACCCTGAGTCAGTTATGAGAATTATACAAGTTCTAGTTTCAAAGGAAAACTAGGCACCCTCTTATGTTCTTTACCGGACCCATAGGTACGACGCTGTTACATACTTGAAGTACCTTGACACATTGAGAGTGTCAGAAGGTGTGCGATCAGTTTGGATACTTGCTGACTCAAGCCATAAGATATTTGAGCATGCAAAAAGGCGTGTTTACCAGGCAGCGAGAACATATGGTGTTAAGGTTAGCATAGATAATAAGGGCACACCAACAAAGAAGAGGAAAGTGGCACATAATACTACCAAGAAAGGAAAAGAAACCGGTAGCGGCTCTTGGCCCCTTCATTTGCAGGTATATGCTTTTCCTGAAGAATTTTAGTGTAACAAGTACCTTGTTCCTGCAGAAAATGAAGACTCCACTGTAGGTAGTTACAACACTCAGAAGGTTAATACTGATGTGGGCATTGTATTGGAAGAGGTTTTGGAGGAGGCACCGAAATGGAAAGTGTTATGGGTCAGTGATTCAGTTTTTGTTTCATTCAGTTCCCTTTCAGACCCTGCAGTCTTCAGCACTGATTATTTGCTTCATGCATTATATGCAAGAACAGTCTGCTCCAATCTGTTTGGCAATGGACACTGCAAATTTGGCTAAACTTGCACATTTACATTGCACAAGAAATCTATTTTATATTACAATGTAATTGATGAAGACTTTCGTATTTTACCAAACATGGTGTGTGTAGCATATGTATCCAACTATTGTTTGTTGTGGTAAATGCCAGTACTTAACTATTCTCTGTTTTTTTTTGTCTCATTCTTGTAGCAAACTAGCAATCTCATCCGTAACTATCAGATAATACGAGTATTATCATCAAGAAATTTATTTTTGCTTCGTGTTGACTGCTTTAAAGTTTGCAGGAATTGTTGCAAGAGATAGCAGAAGAACAGATGAAGAGCGATGCTGGGAATGTGCATGATGAAGACAAAAGTGATGAAAGTGGCATAGTTTTGGTAACATGTAAAGATGAGCGCACATGCTTGCAGCTGCAGGAATGCATATTAAAAGGCCCCTGTCAGGTAATTGTTCGAGTGTTAAATGAAGTCAGCATCAATCTATATAGCACTACTCTATTGCTATGAACTTGCCATGTTTGCTTGCACAAGTGTCTTTCTTCCATGTTGGATACAAGCTTGTTTCTAAAATTATGAACATGAAACCCTGTAAATCCTTTGTGATGTTGACTTGTTTTCAATAAGGTTATGCAAGAAGAGTGGGAGAAGTATTTGATTGAGAAAGCTGAGCTGCATGGATTGAATAAGAAGAACAAGAGAAAATCTGAGCAACCAAAAGGGGTTGGTGTCCTGGATGGTGAAGTTCAAATGGGACCTAGTGAGAGTGCAGGTCCAGTTAGCATTAGCAAACTCGAAACTAATGCCTTACTTGCCGCTGCCTCTGAATTAAGAAATATATCAAATGAAGCAGATGTCAGTTGTGGCTCAAATAGCAGCTGCAGCAAGAAGGGGGCAGCAAGGGGAAAAGCAAAGGGGAAACCAAAGAAAACCACTGCAAAGAGACAAGCCAGCAATCGAAAAAATAAAAGTAAGGGGGGAAATGACAATAGCCAAGCTACCGATCTGGATTCTGAAGGTCAATCAGGCAAAACAGATGAACAGGCTGAGATTGATGCTTCTAAGGCGTCCACATATGATGCTTCCGTGTCAGCCTCTACTTCTAATGATAAATTTAACCATTCATCTGCTCTCGGAAACTTGGCAAATGGCAAGCCACTACCTCCTGTGCAGTTTCATGCTCTAGACAGTGACCAGCACGTGCTTGATGTATGGAAACCATCTGTTATTATTGTTTATCATCCAGATATTACCTTTGTAAGGGAAATTGAAGTATACAAGGCAGAAAACTCATCAAGGAAGTTAAAAGTTTACTTCCTTTTTTACGAAGATTCCACTGAGGTGCAAAAATTTGAGTCCAGCATTCGACGGGAAAATGAAGCATTTGAATCTTTGATCAGACAGAAGTCCCTGATGATGATACCTGTTGATCAGGTGGTGTTTCACTCTGTCACTAAAAGTTTAATTTCAGTCTGACCATAGCAAAGTGGTTACTTCATGAATGATGCCACACAATGCTTAGTCAAATGGCCTTTTCACCTGTCTATGAATCTACATGTGGGTTCATATGCCCGGTATCATGTGTTTATTTTAGCTCAATCACAATCAGCCATATGCAGGCAAAATTGGTGTCATACTTTTCTGACATGAAATACATCTATCTTCTTTTTTTCAGGATGGCCGTTGCATTGGACCAACTGTTGCAAATGAACCAGAACCTCTTTTATGTCAGAACTCAATTACAAGAAAGGCAGGTGGTAAAAAGGCACCTGAGAAGGAGATGCAGGTGATGCTTATGAGTTATGATCATATTGTTAGTGGGCAGACTATATGCTTTGTTTCTATTTGGTGGATTGCTAAACATTTTACTGTTGCAATTTTCTAGGTTATTGTAGACATGAGAGAGTTCATGAGCAGCCTTCCGAATGTATTACATCAGAAAGGTATCCGAATAGTACCGGTCACCCTTGAAGTTGGTGATTATGTTCTCTCTCCTTTGATCTGTGTTGAGCGGAAAAGTATCGCAGACTTGTTCCAAAGCTTTGCTTCTGGTCGTCTGTACAATCAGGTTGAGACAATGGCACGTTACTACAAGATCCCGGTTCTCCTCATCGAGTTCTCACAAGATAAGAGCTTTTCCTTTCAGGTATCCGCATCTCCTCTCCCCTCCCCTGCCCAGGGGGAAAAATCATGATATCACCTCACCTCATTGTTCTAACTGGCCTCTCATTCTTTTACAGTCTGCAAATGAGATCGGGGATGACGTCTCTCCAACCAACATTATCTCAAAGCTTTCGCTGCTAGTGCTGCATTTTCCTCGGGCCAGCATAATCTGGTCACGCAGCTTGCATGCTACAGCAGAAATATTTATGTCACTGAAAACAAACCAGGATGAACCTGATGAGAAAAAAGCAACAAGAGTTGGCGTGCCTTCTGAGGATGGAATCGTGGAGGATGATGTGAGGTAAGTCGTGCACCTCGTATAAAACCTGAGGGGAGTAAGCCCAAACGTGATGTATGCCTTTTTTTTTGGTCATAGGTCTGAAAATTACAACACATCAGCCATTGAGTTCTTAAGAAGGCTTCCTGGGGTGACGGATTCCAACTACCGAGCAATCATGGATGGATGCAATAGCTTGTCCGAGCTGGCCCTGCTTCCAGTGGAAAGGTTGGCGGAGCTAATGGGCGGTCAGAAGGCTGCACGGACGCTCAAGGAGTTTCTCGATGCCAAGTGCCCAACCATGCTGTAGCCAACAGTGATGCTCAAGGAGTCAAGGGTCAGTGTTGTTTGTATGGTGTTCGATAGGGATAATTCAGTTACTGTACCTTGTAAAAACACAGATGTTGTACACTACCAATGCCAATGCCAGTGCATGTTGTTGTCTGGAATTAATACACAATCTGTGCTTGGTAAATTTTGCGGAACTGTGTGCTCGTGGGCCAAAGCAAACTTGGAGAAAATGCCGCAGCAGGTTATGGGCCTCGCAGTCAGGGTCTTTCTACCACAAAAAATCCCGGCCCAGAAACTCCAAAACCCCGCTCATTTGTTGTTGGGCAAATACTAGGATTTTGTTGGTCTCGCCGGTTCCCAACTCCAAGCTTCCGCCATGGCGTCTCCTCCCGAGCGTGAGGTCGCCGCCCTCGAGAGCTGCTTTCGCTCACTCCCGGCTGATGCCGTCCCAGCTGTTGTCGATTGCGTCCTCGCCTCCTCCACCTGGTCCTCACCTTCTCAACTCTTCCACGCGCTCCTCCGTTCCTCCCCTCCCTCCCAGGTTGTTTGATTGCTGCAGCTGCTGCCGCCCTCTTTCGCTTCCACTTCAACTAACATCAGTTGATTGCTCTCTTCTTCCCAGCGGGAGCAGCAGGGTCTCCAAGCCCAGTCTGATCATGCCGCCATCTGCCACGCCGCGGCGCTTCGTCATTTGCTGGCGCAATTCGGTCGCAACCCCTCACTAGTCCCTTGCGTCCTCTTCCTTTTTGGGTAATCACAATGCTTAATTTCTCGCTTTGTTTCGGCTTTCAGACAGCCCTCCTAAGGTTAGGGAGGCTCTGCGCTTACTGCTGTGGAGGGTCTTCCTGCCCCTTCTCAGGGATAGCATCCAACCCAGTCATCCTGCCCACTTTCACCAGGTGCCTGCTCCTCATCTACTCCCCACTTAAATTATTGTGTCTTGTGTAGTCCCCATTTGCTTTTTATGTACCCTGGGTTCGCCGTGGTGTCTCAGGTAATCGCGATGATGTGCGATGCAGTCTCTGACACTGGATCCTGGGACCTGCTTGGAGCCACAATAGTATCATTCTGCATACGGTCATCTGTTGTTGCCATGGATTTGTCTGCTGCAGATGCCAACGCCATGCTTTACCAAAGTATAATGGAAGCGGATTTTCCTGGGGAGAGTCTCTCAAGCCTACTACCGCTCTCCAAGTCAAGCAGTGTGTTAGCATCATTGCTGGTGGACGTGTTGGAGAGGCGAAGGACCATACCTACCTCCCAGGAAGGTGCTGCTGATCTAGATGCATTGGTTCAGAATTTGACATGGGATCTCTCCAAGTTGATACTCAAGATGTTCACACATGCTCAAGAGTATCGGTCTTGTGCCACTCGGATCCTTCTTCAGCCTGTACTCATCTCGCTTGCAAGTGTTTCCTGTGTCACTGTATCGTTTGGTGCAGTCCAGCATAAGCTTTCGAGGTTGCTTAATGTCTATCTGTCTGGCAACTATGTGTGACCAGTTGTTAATTCAAATTGCCCCTACTCAAGTTATCTCTCACCTGCAGGTTTGGTTTCCTAGAATGTATATGGAATTCCTGTATTTCTCTATTTCCTTTGGGGCCGGGTGAGCGGCTTGATGCATACAGGATACTCTCTTTGTACTTGTCAACACTGAAATCAGGACATCAAGCCGCTGTCTTGGGAGTTGACATTGTCAAGGAATTTGACCTTAGGAATGTCAGTGAATTCTGGGATGAACTGTGCAGGGGACTGGTGAGCTTTTCCACCCCGCACCATTTTTCTTAGTTGCATACACTCAAATTTGGAATTCATGCTAGAACGTTGCTGGTCAATGTTATGTCGCAGTGACATGTGTACCTTCTATACACCAGGTTGACAAGGATTATTTAGTAAGGAAACAGGCCTTCTACGTCTTGACAATATCACTTAGCATCTTTACCTCTTCATCTGGAAATGATAGCAGCCGGCATTCCTCCAGCAGGAGCTCAACTGCTTTGCCTGCTCAAATCAAAGCAAATGCTGGGGCAACAAAAAGAGAAAGGTGGGCTAACAAAGAAGCCAAGTCGCTTGGCGTTGAAGAGATGGACCAATCAGGTGGACACTGTTCAAATGGTCAAGATCGGTGGAAGGTCTTCTTGTTACTCTATGAGATGCTCCAGGAGTATGGGACACATTTAGTTGAAGCAGCCTGGACACACCAGGTTAGTTGGTTTCCTCGTGTTTCTCTTATCAAAAGCTATCAACGATATGATATTTTTAATGATACTACTCCTGAATTTAACACTTTTAGTGCTATATAGGCAAGTAGGAATAGCACAGCGAAACAGTAATTGTTTATACAATCACTTTTGGCTTATGTTGGGTTGATTGTCCAAAAACCATGTTCAGGTAGTGCGGCTGTTTGAGTCTATGCCACAGAATGACTATCTGAATCACACCTCCCGTGGAGCCTTTCATGCTCAAATGGAATCTTGGGAAGGAATTTTGTACTGGATGGCAGTTTTGTGGGAGCGTGGGTTCAGTCATGAGAATCCTCAAGGTGAGTACTGATATATAGTTTTCTGTGATCCATATATATTTAGAATGCTATTCCATAATCTGCCAGCTTGAACGTTTTTTGCAGTGAGATGCCTGGTTATGCAATCCTTTTTGGATATTGCATGGGAATGCTACAAGGTTTGCGCTCAGATAATTCCAAGGGGTTTTGTGCTCGGTCCTCTGATACGTGGTTTGAATGATGTGGTTCATCATAAGGATTTCGGTTAGTTTTATTCGTTTTACACTAGTTCAATAGAACTTATTTGATTCTGCTCTCAAAGAAATGGAGCTATTTTGTTTTTTTGTTGGGTCCAATTTTACCCGAGATTCTTGCATTGCTTCATCAATATTCCCTTTGCAGCAAATATGATTTAAAAGTTATGTTTGTATTTCAAACTGAACTTGGGCTTGGGGGGACTTTGGTAAATACATCACACCTGCTTTTGTTTAGTGAGTCATGTTGTTCACAGTATTGTTGCTCTAGTATTTTAGCTTGCTTTCTTATCATCCAATTCTTTTGTCACATTGTTCAATAGTGCATTCTTTTTTATAAATGCTGAGCTATCTTCCTAAACCGCTTTTAGGGATTGGGGGTTCTTATAATTCGAAAACCATAAAAGATGCAGAGAGATTTTTCAGAACTTATACCCAGAACTTGGCGAAATGGTAACTACTGCCTTCTTATTTCTTGTTGAGTGTTTTGATACTTCTGACTGTGGAATTGAGTTTTTTTTTTGTTTTGTTTTGTTCAAAAGCAATACACTTTTTGTTATCATCTAGTGTCTTTACATCTATTGAAAAAGTTGTTTATGCATATGTTGTGTCATGAAAGGAGCTTAACTAGTGAATCTCCTTGCATTTCTGTCTTAATGAAGATCTCCTTTCAATATTGCCTTTTCATCACTATAGCAACAGATAACAGAAAATGCCTTGTATGCACTATAATGGTTTAGCCTACATGCACATGCTTGGGCTGCGAGGACTTTGGATTTGTGTCTTCAAGGGATATTTATGTTGTTTGGCGACAGACATGCTACTCTTTAGTTTGGTTTGGTTTCAATATCTGAGCTCTTGCAGTTGCAGTGTGCTGCTTAACCCACTTCTGTTGCATGCATGCCTTCTTTACAGTGACCGCATACATCTGGTTTGGAGTCTGGCATCTGCGGCTAAGCAAGATTCATTTGGCCGAGCAGGATTAATGACTCTTGCATCCTGTGTTGCTTCGTGCATACATCAGTCAGAGACAAATGATGTGCCATGTGCTATATCTGGGAAAGCAGCGACAAAATGTGATGGATGTGTGCCAACAGAAGTTAGGTCAACGGATTTGTTAGATGTCTTATGGATTCTTAGTGAGAGGAGTAAACAACACTTTAATCCAAAGTATCGTCTGAAAGGTTCTACTCTTCATCTCTTTCCCCTCGAGAAATTTTGATAAGTGACAGTTATGAATAGACAACTTGTTAACTTGAAGTCCAATGCAGTTTGTGAACAGGTTATCCAAGTTGCAACATCAATGATAAGTGCCACTGAAATTCCACTTAACCAGCTTCTGCATTTCATTGCTACAATTCCTCGAGAGTTCACTGATTATATTGGTAAGCACACAAGAGAAAGCGAACTTTTGAAATTATCTCCTTCGATATTACCTACAGTGCTGTGTTAACATTAGCTCTCACTGCTATTGTATGTCCTTGTAGGACCATTGAGAGTCGTAGTTCAGAAATGGTTTGTTCAGAAGGAAGAATGTTCTGCTGGTAACACTTTGTTGAGTAAGCTGATTGATTTCCCTGCCACCTTCGTAAGTCATAAACAGAACGAAGGTTCCAATGTTTTTGATGACGAGGATGTGGATGCATGGGAAGCTGAAGCAAGGAGGTGGGCTAGAACCCTTCTTCTTGTAACCTCGGAGGAGGAACATTTGAAGCGAATCTTTGGGGTTTGTTTTTCTTTTCACTTGCTTGTATATATACTTGTAAAACAATAGGATCTCTATATTGTGCTTGGATCTTGAACTTCAGCTGTGCAATACCTTTTTATATTGCCCTTGTGTGTTTCAATTTATCTTTGGTTCAAAAAGGTATTTTTCGTTGCAGTTTCTAGAGGCATATGGCTACAAGCTCTTTGAGCAATGTCCCAGTGGAGATTTCATACCCACAAAATTTTTTATCATTGTTTTAAGCTTCATTGAGGAACTTGAGGTGAGTCAGAGAAAGGTTGTTTGCCAGAGTAATACAATCTTAAGAGGAGGTTCGGATCGAGTAAATGGATTAGTGCTCGATGATCTCAACAAAATGCTCGCAGAATCACTTTCGCTTGTTTTGGTAACCCTCTCTCTTTCTTTTTTCAAACCGTTGCTGAGGGCTCTTTGTGTGTCAGCTTTTCAATAATTGCCATCTTTAAATCTTATCTCAGGAAAATATGGTGGCCTTCAGCAAGCTGTCTTGCTCTGTTTTCTGGTTTAGAGATGTGGAGAAC